ATTGGCAGAGGTTGATGAGCATGAAGTAGTGAGAGAAGTACAGGTAGGGTGACAGCGCATTGGAATTAAAGGTAGATTAATTGTAAGGCAGAAGTAAGACGTTGAGACTAATCGTGGATCCATTTTCTCTTTTATATAACTTTAATAGGAATATTTCGCAGATTATTGTGCAATAAATCCAGACTTTTACTCTTTGAATCTTACATATCCACAAAATCCGTTATATGGTGATAGTCCGACGTCATGGGATGGGAGGACATTTTCGCGGACATTAGAGGGACTGTTGTCCGTATTGTTGTCATTGAAAAAGAAACCATCGATACGATACGAGAAAATGAGCGTGATGGCAAAGAAACTAGCCCAGGAAATAAACGTAAGTACTGCTATGTTATGCGTCATTCGTCATTATGGCATTGATTAACGTATTGTGGTTCTGATAACATTTCGGTGGACAGTACCAAATGCAACAAGAAGGCCAGTTATTTGATTTCAGGAAAACAGATATTTCCACGATATTATTAATACTAGACCGTAGAAATGATCCTGTTACTCCTCTGCTCTCTCAGTGGACATACCAAGCAATGGTGCATGAGCTGCTCGGAATACAAAACGGTCGAGTCGATTTATCTGATGTGCCTGATATTCGAGCCGAACTGCGAGTAAGCATGTTCAATCCTGATATATGCTAGCTTCATCTTGTTTCATTGAGGTTTTGCCACCCACCATCCATGACCGTTTATCGTCAACACCATTTTTTTACTAACAAGTATTGAATTTCTCTGCTTCATTTACTACTTTACTACGCAGGAAATAGTTCTTTCCCGCGACCAGGATCCCTTTTACAGGAAAAACTTGTACCTCAATCTTGGAGATCTTGGCGCGAACATCAGATCCTACGTTCAAGAATATCAAACAAGGACCCAATCAAACATGAACATTGAATCCATAGCGGATATGAGGAGATTTGTTGAAGAATATCCCGAATTTAGAAAATTGTCTGGAAACGTTACCAAACATGTTGCTTTGGTGGGAGAATTGAGTAGGTTGGTGGAAAAGGAGAAATTGTTGGAAGTTAGTGAGTTGGAGCAGAGTTTGGCGTGTAATGAACAACACAATAATGATTTAAAGGTACGCGTACGCTTCGCGGGAGGGACAATAATTTGTAGAAATGGCAGTGCGCGCATGCGGCTGTGATTTGGAATATGGGATTTCGTGTACTAATGCTGAAATATATTTATAGCACCTACAACGACTCATCACAAGCTCACATATATCGGAAACTAGCAAAATAAGATTAGTACTCTTGTATGCATTAAGATATGAAAAGGCACAAAATAATGCAATCAAATCTCTCGTGGGGCTCTTACATCGTAGCGGCATCAGCGAACAAAAAACAATGGTAACAATTACGAATCACGGAATTTCCAAGTTTTTATCCTCCTTTTTTTTGTTCATTAGAATTTTATTTCTTTTTACTAGACCAAAAAAATTTTTTGTCCTGTTCCTCCTTCCCTCCCTCATGGTAATTAGTTAATCGACACGATGTTAGAATATGCAGGAGCAGATAAACGTCAAGATGATCTCTTTGCTAATGAAGGGTTTCTCGCTAGTGCAAGGAGTGCACTAAGAGGACTCCAAGGAGTCGAGAATGTCTACACGATGCATACACCGCACTTGGCTCAGACGTTAGAACTTATGATTAAGGGCAAACTAAAAGATACAAGTTATCCATTCCTCGACGGAGTAACAAAGGACAGGTAAATGTGATCCGTGAGCGTGTGCGCATGTGTGCGTGTGTCTTTTTTTCTCCTTTCATTATTTGTCTGATTAATCTGGTCGTTTAACAGACCACAGGATATTATAATATTCATGATTGGCGGCGCCACATATGAAGAAGCGAAATATGTTGCAGAACTGAATGCCTCTACGCCCGGCATTAGGGTGGTATTGGGTGGAACTGCAGTACATAATAGCGCGAGGTAAATAAAAAGAAAAAAAATGAGCATTTTTTGATTACGTTTACGGGTAAAATGGTAGAATGCGACTTTAAAAATTAATGGTGTTTATTATTGCGTTTAAAAGCTTTTTGAACGAAGTCCAAGAAGCTTTCCGTCGCTTTTCGGGTGGATCAAGCTCTCGTCCTTCGCGATTTGGTCAACAACCTCGGACTCGTGTTTGATGCGGACATTTGGACTGTAGATGTAATGGTTTTCTTATCTCGCGGAAATTTCTCATAATTAATACAAGGTTATCTATTCTTTACAGTTCGGCATTTAATTGTTTATCTCGTAAGGGTAAAGCTGTAGTTGTTGCGTCACGTATTATTTCCCCTATTTAAGAAGAATTAATGGAAAACAGATACTAATAAAGTTAACTTAATATTTTAATCCATCAGAAAAGATGGAATTTCGAAGAAATGATGTTGTTTATTGTTCCGTTAAATACTTTTCTTTCTTGAGTTTTGACACGATCATTATTGTTAACAGTCAGGAATAAAAAGCACAAATTGCACAACTCTACATTAG